TCTATTTTGCCTATTTGCCTTTTTTTGCCTATTTACAAGCACAAGACTTTTAAAAAAATAGCACAAAAATACTTATTTACATGCATAAATTTACAAGCACAATACTTAAAAAAAAAAAATAGCACAAAAATACTTATTTACATGCATAAGCCTTTTTAGCCTATTTTAACTTTTTTTTTTTTTTGCCTATATTGCATATTTACATGCAAGCCTATTTTAACCTTTTTTTTTTGTTTGCCTATTTTGCATATTTACATGCATAAGCCTTTTTTTTTTTTGCTTTGTTTCCCCTATTTTGCCTTTTATGCCTATTTTGCCGATTTACACGCATTAGCCTGTATTGTAAAAAAGGCAAAAAGACTTATTTACACGCATTGACATTTTTTTGTCTTTTTTACAAAAGAGCAAAATAGTATATATATATAGTCTAAAAATGACGTGTATAATTTAAACTTGGCTCTAGCTCTATTATTTAGTATCTTATATATAATCACATAAATTACACATGAGAGCCAATGCAAAAAATGCAAAAAATAAATAAAAAAGACATATGCATGTAAAATCAGATCCTTTGATCCAACACAAACATACAAAAAGGCATACACACAAGATTTACATATCTCAGCCATGGAACAAAATGATAGATACCTCGGATCAAATTTTCTTGATTTAGATGACTTACACCTCTAAGGAGACCTGCAGCTAGGGTTTACTGGATGTTTTACAACCAAAATCAGTAAAACACGCTTGAACTAGTACTAAAATGATTCTTTGGAAGCTTGAAGACTTAAATATTTTTTTTTATTTAAAAATTTGGTTTGCGTTTGGAACATTTAAATTGGCATTTATATTTATTTGAAGAGCAAAATTATAAATATATGTGATAGGTATGCTATTATGAATCCACTTCATACGAACTTCAGTACATGTAAATATATCATAATTTATGCGCTATAGGTATGTTATTATTTATCCTATGATCAAGGTCCAGTTATTGCCAACCTATGGCTTCTTGCATAAATATGATCAGGGGTGCTAGTCAAGCCGACTCGTGAGCCCGTTCGTGCTTGGCTCGATAAGTGGCTCGTACACTTATTTCTATGAGCTTACAAGACAAGCTAATACTAGCCCCGACTCGACTCATTAGTTCGTGAGCCAGATGATATAAAGATACAAAATATACTCAAAATATGCCCATTTTTATCCTCTGTTGTGGGAC